TGCTGTGCCACACACTGAGAATAAGACATTGCTCCTGCCCTCGAGGTATTTCAGGGTATTGAGAAAGATAGCTGCAAGTTATTTCAATGAGAATTGGTAGAAATTCGCCATGCAAAGATGTGTAGATAGATACATCATCTCAGGTTGAGAGCACGCCTTGTCCAAACATAAACAGGTGCATTCTAGCATGGATGTTGGGAGGATTATAGGGCTTCTGGAATGACAAATAGTAAGTGAGAATGCATCAGCAAGTAACACATAAGTTGATGGTAAGTCATGGTGGATACTGTTGACTTGCTAAGGATATCTTGTAAATAATGGAAAGCCAGGGAGGGATATAATCAAGTTTGTGTTGTAGACCTCCGTATGGAGAGGGTTGGACTGTAGCAGTGGTTCTTGCCTTAGGCCATGTTCTCAAGAAAAATAGAGTATAGGTAATGATTAAGTGCTGGTAATTAGGAGATACCATCCCAGACAGTGAGAGTAAGAAAGAAAGAGCATGAGGCACAGAATACTAGGAAGCAAGGAAATACGTTCATGGGCTGGTCACTGTTTCTGGTATTTCAGAGATGTAGCTGGTTGCTTAGCAGGTGCACCCATATGGCCACATATGCACAGGCCATAGAAAGAATTATGTTTTGGAACAGTTTGTGAAAGGGAAGACATGTGGGACATTGTCTTCCCATCTCCTCTTCCATTGATCACAGTTCACCCTACAAGGAGGCAACTTCTGCGCCGTTGCATGCAGCTTCCTTGGCAGTTGATCTAGAAGCCAGATAGTCTTCACAGAGTGGCTTCCTATTCAAGTGTAGAAGTGGCCTTAGAAGCCAGAAACTCAAGGTACATGGTGGCGAGGCATGGATGCACCTTAGCAGCCAAGGGGAGTGCTTGGCTCATTTGGGACAGTGAAAGATCAGCCAGCCCTAGGTAGGAGACCCATGAGGACCCAAGCACAGTCAGTTGGTCATGGGTGTGGGATGAAGAGCAGCGCTTTGAGGAGGCATAGCCAAAGTAGCAGCTGAGGGAAAGCAAACAGCTGAGGACTCAGGAGACCATGGCTCCAGGACAGCCTAGGGAGATATATAAGCTGTATCAGGGAAGTTTTCAAACCACACATATAGAACCCTCAATATTAAACAGATGTAAGGGGAGCTGCTCTTTGAACCAAAGAGGATAGTTTACACCCCTTTTTCTCACACTGCCACTCTGGCCTCTGGGGCACACCCTACTGCTCTTTGCAATACAGTTTGAAATTAGATGAGATGAAATGCCTTCTTACACCAACATTCAGAAGTTTTTTTTAGCAATACATCTGAGGATTAATATTTCACTTCCTATAAGATAATTTTGTTCTCTTAGTTTTTTGATTTGTGGAATTGCAAAGAAAGGAAGATACAGCAAATTTAAACAGAGTTACAACAAATTGTGGAATTTGAGATTTTTGAGAATCTAAAGTTCATCTAGTTTAATTAGCTCAGAACCACAGATGAGAAAACAGAAATTCAAGAGGATAAGTTATCTTGCAAGAGGTCACGTGACTAATTAGAGAAAGACTGAGGTTTAGAACCAGGGGTCTTTTCTCTGACTCCCAAACCTGGGATCTTTTCTCTGTGTACATATCTGTGAACATATTTTTGGAGTTCATAAATTTGTTTTCATGCTTTTCAAATTTTGCATTTTCATCTTAGTAACAATATAAAACCATTACTGTATGCCTATTCTGAACTATCTGGATGACCACTTATTAATTCTATATTCAAACTGTAGTGAAACCTTCCTTTTGCCCTGGACATAACCGTACAGGTGAGCCAAATACGGAAGAATCTACCCTGTGGCAATTAGTGCTGTATTCACATTGCACTAGACTGTGTTGTAAAAGTTCCATCCTTGAACATATTTGTTCAAAAGTTATGAGGGGGTAGCAATGCTTTTTCCCCACCCAATTCCAGCAATAATTTGATTTGATACCCATCAGTGAAGTTTTAATGTGAACTTTATGCTCAAGTTAACAAGACAGTTTTGCTTAGTTATAGGTGACACTTCATTTAAAATGGCATCTTACTCTAAAGCAGAATATTTAGACAGATAAGAGATCCTAATAACCTTAAGTAGCACAAAGAACCTTGAAGTCATTAAATATTCTCTTGTCTAATACATTTATGAATATGGGCATTTTCTACATTGGAATTATTAAAGTCAAAATTCTGAAACACTGAATATAGCACAGGACCTGATATTATTTCTGTGAGTACACCCAATACTGAAATTTAGTTGTTACAGAAAAGCATAATCTTCCCTATAAATTTATATTGTTAATTTAAATTTATTAGTTTCATGGTTTCAAAATTCAATTTATAAATTTTTTTTAATCTTATAAGAGCAATAGCTTGTAGCCTTCTTCTCTGGCTTATATATTTTTTAAAGCACTAAAGTAACATATTTCCTTATACTTGGAAAAGGAGATAATTATTTCTTTTAAAAATAAGTCCAGGCACAAAGAGGGGAACAACAGACACTGGGGCCTACTTGAGATTAGAGGGTGGGAGGAGGGAGAAGAGCAAAGAAAGTAACTATTGAGTACTAAGCTTAGTACCTGGGTGACAAAATAATCTGTACAACAAAGCCCTGTGACAGGAGAGTTTACCTATATTACAAACCTGCACGTGTGCCCATCAAAACGTTAAATAAAAGTTTGGGGGAAATAATTGGCTGGGTGTGGTGGCTCATGCCTGTGATCCCAGCATTTTGGGAGGCCAAAGTGGGTGGATCATTTGAGATCAGGAGTTCAAGACTAGCTTGGTCAACATGGTGAAACCCTGTCTCTACTAAAAACAAAAAAATTAGCTGAGCATGGTGATGGGCACCTATAATCCCAGCTGCTTGGGAGGCTGAGGCATGAGAATCTCTTGAACCCAGGAGACAGAGGTTACAGTGAGTTGAGTTCATGCCACTGCACTCCAGCCTGGGCGACAGTGTTAGACTCTGCCTCAAAAAGTCCAGGGCTGGATGTGGTGGCTCATTCAGCACTTTAGAATGCCGACCCAGAAAATGCATGATCAGAGTGGGGAAAAAAAAAAAGAAAAAACAAAGTGAGAGAAAGACCTTTCTTGGTTCCAACTGTATCTAACCAAAAATATTCTCTGAATTATATCGTCATTCCTCTAGTATTGTACTCCCTATCCAAGCCATTTGCATTTAACAAACTGTGGGCCCAGCAGTGTGTCAGGTGCTGGAAAGATCTCTAAATATGATACCTTTTTTGAAAAATTTTTTTTAATTAGAGAATATGTTTGAATTGTTGTTTTCCACTGTAAAAATTTTTTACCTCAATTTGTTCCACGTGTTATTGATAAGAACTTAATTTGAATTAAAATTAAAATATTAGATAAGGGATATGATATGTATTTTTTACCCTTCAGAGTTTGAGGAGACAGCATGAGAGTATCTTGAAATGGATATTGTGTTAGTAGAAACAATGCAGTTATTTGACACACTTTCTAACTTTAGAAGATGTTTTCCAGACTTACTACAGGCTCTAATTTCTCAGTTTCTCAATAGGTAGCATTTAGTACTCACTGACTTGCTGCCACTGACCAGGACATGGCGTATTGTTTTCCTTTCTTACATCAATATTCTTCTTCCTCCCATTTGTGTCTAGCCTTAGACATTCCTCCTGTTAACCAGTAGGCAAAAATAAAAGGCCTATTGAAATATTTGACTTCAGTTCAATATCTGCTATCACTCTTGCTAAAGAGATGTTTGAACTCAACTACAAGCTTTGAAACACTGTCTGTAGGAGTTTAGTTTAAAAGAAAAACAATAAACCCCAAATAGAGTGAGGAATAAGAAAGAGCAAGAATTTAATCTGTCCCTGACCACCCAGTTTGTGGTAGGTTACCACATTTATTCTTATAATTGGCTATTTCCTGTTTTAAATGCCTTTTATTCATGTCTGCCACCTTTCTCTCAGTTTATTAGCCTTGTGGTCACCACATTACCTTTCTCTTCAAAATCAATTGACATTTTTATGAAAAGCATTTTCAAGGTATTAGCTCCTAGAGAGTGGCATATAGAGCATTGACTGCCACATTAGAAAGCCGCTCTTAGCATGACTCAGGTGCTTAAGACATGAGCTATTATGTTTTCAAGGGATTTATGTGTTTTCATTTAGATTTATACAGTGTACTAGGAATATATCGGCATGATTTTAAAAATATAAAATATATGGCATCACAATGGTACATACTCTACTGCTTAATAACATTTATGAATGAGGGGAAAACATCCATTTTCTAAAAAGTAACACAAAACTTCAGAATTTTGGTAGTTGGTCTATAGATGGCTCACATCATTCTTCTGTAAGCAAAGCTCCACTAACCTAGTTCCTTAGGCCACCTGGAGATGGGAAGTCCTCACCACTTTATGAATACTGTGACAGCGGGTAATAATAGAATTTCAGATCAGCATATTTTTTTAATCTTACAGGAAATAAACAGTTACAGACCCTACGATAATCAGGGTCTGAATTTTCTGAAAAAGGTTAGCTGACTAGGCCAGGCGTGGTAGCTCATCCTGTAATCCCAGCACTTTCGAGGCAGGAGGATCACCTGAGGTTCAAGACCAGAGTTCAAGAGTTCAAGACCAGCCTGACTGACATGGGGAAACCCCATCTCTACTAAAAATACAAAATTAGCTGGGCATGGTGGTACATGCCTGTAATCCCACCTACTTGGGAGGCTGAGGCAGGAGAATCGCTTGAACCCAGGAGGCAGAGGTTGCAGTGAGCCAGGATAATGCCATTGCACTCCAGTCTGGGCAACAAGAATGAAACTTTGTCTCAAAAAAAAAAGCTGACTTGAAAGATGTATTCATTCATTCAGTGGTGGAAATAATATTTCTATTGATTTATTTTTCATAGAGCTCTGAGCAGCTGGAGCAGCTGTTTAATATGGCAAAAAAAAAAAAATCATAACTTGCTGATTCAAAACATTTGTCTCTAGGTGCCAGGTCGACCTGTCAGCCCTCAGTAGGGAACAGACGCACAAGTTGGAGTTGCAGCTGGAAGAGGGTGAGGGACACCTGGTGCTGCTGGTCACTCTGACAGCATCAGCCACAGTCAGCATCTCTGACCTCTCCGTCAACTCCCTGGAGGACCAGAAGGAACGAGAGGAGATATTAAAGAGATATGTACGTATGTAACCCTCCTCCTTCCAAAGTCACATGTGACTAGATGAGGTTGTAAACAATTTACCTGGAGGGACAGAAGTACTTCTGAGAAGCTGTCTGATGGAAAAATTGGCACAAGTAAAAAGCTGAGTGAAGACAAATGCCGCACAGACCTTGGCAGAGGCACTTGCATTACCCACCCATGTCTAGAGACTTGAGCTTCTCTAGAATCTCTTCCAGAGCAAATTCCAGATTCTGAGACTCTACTCAGTGATTTTTATCATGCAGGGATGCTACCCATAAAGGAAGGCCAGGTTTATACACCATGACTTTAAAATTAACTTATCAGTTCTTTGTAGCTGCAATTAAAATATCTTTGTCTTTCCAAGTTTGAGATGGAGTTAATAGTACTTACATTAGTTAGTACCTTGGTAACTAAAGAGTATTCACAGGAGTGAATTTTTATCTTTAGCTGCTCAGAAAAGCCTCACTTCATTCCTTTAATTTTCTTAACTGAATGTGAAATAAAATTAAATGGAGCCTCCTTTTGATCGAATGTAGAATGATAGCATGGAATAGTGAATCACTAAAATACTGAAATATTCACAACCAAATCTTACTATTTCCTGGCATCCTCCCACTGGACATTTCCCACAATGTAGTTTTCTTGATTCAACAGAGAGGGGAGCTCTTACTCCACCATTCTCTCTCAATGGAGGTTTGAAAAAGTAAATGCCTCAGTACCCACGAAGCTGGGAAAAAAGCTTTTCCACTTAAAATGACAAAGCTTGTATTGTACAGTGCCGCCAGGTGTTTAGAAGGCTCCTCTAGACACTCAGCCATGAAACCAAGCTCTGACTAACAAAGAACCACTTTTTTTTTAACTTTAAAATATTCCTATTTGCTGACTGACATCCTTTCAATAACTGAATTTAATAAAGATGTACCTTATCAGGCTGTGCAGATAACATGAAGTGCTGGTACTAATGCTCTACAATATTCTTCAAACAGATTAGCAGGATGTGGGCTTCAGCAAATTTATTCTGGCTATCTCCACTGAATCAGCTGTCTGCTAATGCTTGTACAACTCATCCACCAATGGTGTTATCATAAACAGTTTAATAGAGGTGACTTAGCAAGGCTAAATAGTATATATTTTTAAACCACCTAAGAGCCTAAGATATTGTGTGACATCTTCTAACATATAATTGCAATAATGAAGATTATTTTACATTGTGGGACCCACCAAAACATATTCTTCTGTTACCAGAAGTGAGCCTCATGAATTACAACAATTTTAATGGAATTAATCAGTATATTAATATAAAAATTCTTCTAGGCATTATAATACTATAGTTGATGGATTAATATTTTGATATTATCCCATATATTAAGGGATACTGCTGCCTAGGTAATTAGAAGTAATCCATCTATTATTAATTTTTTTTCTTTTTGCTGGATGACTGAATGGCAATGGGCCATTTCCATTCAGAATTTTGAATATTTCTACACCTTTTTTCAATAAAACGTATAATATTAGGTAGATGTTTGACTTAATTCTCAGATTATATTCTGTTCAATATATTAAAAAGTGAACCATGTTTAAATATACTTTTTTTTCAGCCCTGAATTTTAGGCAGAGACCTATACCTCCTCTAAACACATACCTGCTAAGAAGCCACTCTATGCAGCATAGCACATGTGTTATTTTAATCATAGCCATGCAAGGACAAAGACCTATGGATTAGGCTTCAGTGTGTTTCCTTTCTATTATAAGGATCATGAAATGAATGAATGAATGCCATATCATATCTGAAATATTATTCGTCTTGGAGAAACACATAAAGGAGGTGTTTTGGAGAATTATATTTTCCTACAAGAACATATGTATTTTTAAAGGTTGAGGTCAAACTTAGGAATTTGACACTGATCACAGTCAGGAAAGCAAATGAATTGCCCCCACTCTGATAGGAAGCAGCCCTCAAAAAGCCCTCCATTACTGCTGTTTAGCTGTTCATTGCTATGGATTGAAGCCCCACAAATTAAAGAAACATCACTGTGTGAGCCATTTTTTGATCACCACATTCTGAAAAGATGGCTAATTCCATTTTTCTTTTTTTCTTCTTTTAGGGGGAAGAAATAAGGGAAGGTCAATAGGGGGCGGGTAGTAATGGGTAGTAGACCAAGAGCAATTGTATGACCTTTTCAGAACGGGTATGCTAAACCCTTGCTCCCCCTTGTCACAGTTTAAAAACCAGAGGAGCTAGTTTAGAGAAGAAGTTGTTAGCATTCCATTTTTATTATGACATTTCACCGTCATCTGATTTAATGTCCCTTGACCGGATTGTCCACCGTGAGACGATGGGCTTGAAATGTTATTTAGAGCATTGATAAAAGGTGAGCGGTTCTAAGATGACAGCAAGTCATAAGGCTGGTGGTGTGACATTAATTTTCTCCATAACAGAGATGGAATAAGACGTCACGGTGACAAGCTGTCAATCAGCTCTGGCCCCTCAGAGCATCTCGATGCCATAGGATGGGGTATTGCCTCTCCCGTAATAGAGCTGAACTGAGATGCTCTCACTGACAGCTGCTGCAGCCATAGAGAAAATATATTATACAGCCTTTCATTAAAAAAATAAAGAGGACTCCTCTCCAGAGCATTTCAATCTTTTCCCATCTATTGAGGGCTGAAAGGATTCACAGCAAATCATAGATTCCTCTGCTATGGAAATTTCTGGCTTCAGAAGACATCCAGGTTGTTAGGCCTTCTAAAATAACCATAAATAGCAAGGCAGGAATACCTCTTGATGAATACCTCTTGATGAAGTTATATTTTTAAATGAATATATATTTTTTTTAACTTCTTATTGTAATCGATGTGTCACTGGCCTAAACAGTTGAAATTTGCAATAAATTATGGAGTATCAGCTGACTTGGGGAAATGAAACCTTCAAACAATAATTACCCATTCAAATGGGAAGCAGAGGATCAGAGCTGAAGCACCAGAAGACAATATGTCTGCGAAATGAGGCTACCAATGTGAAATGATTCTCAGACATAAGGACTGATGATATTCGTTTTAGTCAAAATAAAACTTGATTTAAATTGCCTCTGAAAATTAAAGTACAGAAACTTTTTTCATAAAACTATTCCCCATCATTAGGGTTGGAGTCTTACCTGATTTATAACATTGTGTAAGCGCCGAGATAAGAAACTTTCCAAACTTGATGTTACTGTAAAAACACAACATGCCTACAATCCTCTGAATTATACTCTGCTGTCTAAAGCCCCACTCTTAAACCCTTCATTTACAGGAATTTAAATGGAGAGAGAAGTGCATTTTTACTGAATCTTGTCACCTGGGTATTTTAAATAGATTTATGGTGATAAACAACTATTTTAAAACAGTGAAAGATTAACAGTTAATCCTGATGCTAAACACGCTTATAAAAAGTTAGGCTATGAGATTACCTATATATCTACATTTCCTCCTCTCAATATACCAAGGTCATAGCTTCAGTGTAAACAATGACTGGTCATACCGGGCTGATAAACTTCATATCGCAATGAGCTTTTGCTTGTCAGTATTCTCACATTATTAACGTGATGACGGGAATGCTTTTTACTCTAGTAACATTTTAATAGATACCTTTATTATGCAAAAGTATGTTAAGTTGTCTGGTTATGAAACATTTTATAGATTATGAAACAGAAGTACTTTTGATTTACTGAGTAGAAGTGCTGATCGAGTCATAAGAAAAACCCTATTAAGTGTAAATAAACAAATACATGTCAGAATTCTGTTGGTTCATTTTACTCTCAAAGTATTTGTGCCTACTAATTAGACTTCTGAATTATTGTACTTGTTTCCCTCTTTTAATTCCTTCAACTGCTACACTTATACAATACCACCATGATTAATTTATGAAGTGAAATAGATTTTATCATTTGGATCTGTTTTTCTATCCAAGTTTCCATACTTCCATAGACACTAAAATTGCAAATAAAACTATAAATTTCAGAAAAATTTCCACTTTTGAATTGATTTTTAGTCATCAATTTGATTGACTGTAAAAGATTGTTGTATGTCTTTTACTTATGTAGAACTACAGTGGTCTTTTGAAATAAATACTAGAAAATAGTCTTTAGGTAATTTAATCTTCATCTAGCCCATGCAATTTCCAAAACTCACCAAGAGGAAAATAGTAGAAAAAAATAATTAGTTTAATGTTGACCTTCTTATCCCCAGAGTCTGAGGAGTGTTACATAACCAACAATGTGAGATTTAATATTGATAATTGGGCTGAGAGTGGTGGTTCATGCCTGTAGTCCCAACACTTTGAGAGCCAAGGCTGGAGGATCACTTGAGGCCAGGAATTGGAGACTATCCTGGGTAACATAGCAAGACCTTTTTCTACAGAATTAAAAAAAAAAATTTTTTTTTAATTAACCAGGTGTATTTGCACATGCCTGTAGTTCCAGACACTCAGGAGGCTGAGATGGAGGGAATGCTTGAACCCAGGAGTTGGAAGTTGCAGTGAGCTATGATCACACTACTGTACTCCAACCTCAGTGAGACCCCATCTCTAAAAGAAAAAAAAAGACTCCACTATTCTCCAAACCATTATATCTACATATGAAAATATTTCTTGGAGTGCTTTGCTTGCTAGAGGAGATTGAAAACAAAAAAGCAGATATATCTATTCTAGAATTTATTGTTCATCATTATTTATTGATAATTATTTATGGGAGTAAATGTGTTTTTTTTTAATTCTTTCAGAAAATCTAGTTATATAGCAACAATTATCCACATGGGTGTGTGTGTGTGTGGTGTGTGTGTGTGTGTGGTGTACATTCATGATGGTGGAAGGGTAATTTATACTGAAGAAACACAAATGATCCTTTGAACCCCTTATGCAGCATCAAAGTTTCCATTTTATACATACTAAAATAGCAAATGAAACTATAAATTTAAGAAAAATCACTCACTATTTTGAATTTATTTTTAGTCATCAATTTGATTTATTTTAAAAGATTATGTATGTATTTTACTTACATGGAACTACTTAAGTTCTTATGTCGAATTGCATAAGTCTTTTGAAATAAATACTAGAAAACAGTCTTTAGGTAGTTTAACCCTCAGCTAGCATATGCAATTTTCAAAACTCACCAAGAGGAAAATAGTACAAAAAATTTTTTAATTAGTTTAATGTTGGTCTTCCTGCCCCCAAAGTCTGAAGATACACTAAAAAATTTAATGTTTTCTCAGCACACTCCTTAAGACTCCTTGGGACCTCTCCTTTCTAATACTGATGTTGGGGTCTTTCAGAGCCCATTGAGGATATTTCACAACCTGAAAGATGTGGGATTTCTCCAGGTGAAAGTCATCAGAGCGGAAGGGTTGATGGCTGCTGACGTCACTGGTAAGAGATAATGCAATTCCCCTATTGCTCATATCAAGCAGCACACAAGGTCTATACCATTTAATAATTCAACTCTGCATTTCACCTGGCTGGATCATCAAAGTAAATAAATAGAAAGGTTCAGGGTTGGCCAGCCACAGCGGCTCACACCTGTAATCTCAGCACTTTGGAAGGCAAGGCGGGCAGATCACCTGAGGTCAGAGATTTGAGACCAGCCTGGCCAACATGGTGAAACTTTGTCTCTACTAAAAATACAAAATTAGCCAGGCATAGTGGCACATGCCTGTGGTCCCAGCTACCCAGGAGGCTGAGGCAGGAGAATTGCTGGAACCCAGGAGGTGGAGGTTGCAGTGAGCCAAGATCACACCACTGCACTCCAGCCTGGGCAACAGAACGAGACTTGGTCTCAAAAAAAAAAAAAAAAAAGATTTAGAATTGATCTTAGAAATTTTTTCCAACCCCTTGATTTTGATAGTATCTCTGCTTTTTAAAGGCAGGGTAATATATTAAAAATAAACACTAAAAAGCACAATGATTTTTGAATTGTTACCTTCTTCAAAGTTTAATCAGTGTATTAGGAATATTTCTTCCAGTTATTGTTATTTCCAGATATTGAAGCAGTGCTATACAGAATCAGCTTCTGTCATAGCATTAACACTTACATTTCAAACATGCGTGAAATCTGTTGCATATTTCACTGAAAAGTTTAGGTGCATAATACTCAATAACGTGGTATGAACTGTTGATATTTGGGTTGCTGATCCAACTCATTAGTCGTCCAAATGCCCTGGCACATCCCAGAGATAATTCTGGATCTCAACTAAGCCTCTAGATTATTTGAAATTTCTTAAAGTAGGAAACAGGGCTGTAAAAATGTCAAAATTAGTTTTGTCTCTTAAAGCTTTCTGCTTTGGGTAATGCTGTTTCTGTAACATATTAACAAATGGGCTGATGGCAATTATTTAATCAATTTTCACAATTAAATAATTATTTTGAATTTACAACAATGTGACCATTCATTTATGATCATATTTCTTAAGGATTTGGGGGACATTTATACTGTTCCTTAAATTAGCCATCTCAAGTTAGAAAATAAATAGGACTGGCTTAACCAATTTTGTGCAAATGTTACTGTTTCTGAATAAGATCCACTTATTATTATTCTAGAAATTTGCTTACCATTGTGAACTTTCAGCCAGATAATCCTAATGAGGAAACAGACTTATTTTAAGGGAAGAAGTGTACTTTTTCTATTATCCAAGGATCTGAAATCACTGTACATTTCTTTAATTCATTCAACAGAATCAAAAACAAATTAAAAGATAACATGCTTTCAAATGAAAATAGCAGATGTTTGTTCCAAAAACTGCGATATTTTTATATTTTAATGTTTGCCTATTAAGTGACCATGTGTGAGAAAATTAAAAATATTAGTTTACAGTTCCTTTAAAAAGGTAATTATCAACTCATTTCTAACCAAGAAGATGATAACAGTTGTCACATATTTTTTCAAAACACACATACCTGAAAATAGGAGAGTGGGTAGTTTGTAATATTTGCATATATGCTAATTTGGCTCCTGTACAAAACTGAATGTAAAATATATACATTTTTTTATTTATGATATTTATTTCTAGTATGATTATAATCAAATTAATCTGGCACAATCATTTCTTTTAGAAAAATGCAAGTACTGTTTTACTTCAAAAGCTTAGATACCTGCCCATTATACAATTGGATAGAATTGTGTAAGTTTGTCTTCTCTTGGAGAGAAGCTGTCATTGATTTTCAAACTTCATGAATATGCAAACTAGATTAACCCAGTTGGCCTGTGTGCCACTATGGAAGTTAAAATACATGTTCTCTCAAACCTGGAAAAAAATAGAGATATTTCTTTCCTGATGTAAATTGACGTGAATAACAATAGCCTTTCCCTTGGGGATTCAGTGAGACATAATTTTCATTTAATAAAATGACCATTAATTTGGGGAATACTAAATAACAGAGTCTCCATTTTTTCCTCCAGTTTTAGAGATATAAATCTAATGATTCCCCTTTTCATGCTGACCTTATAATCTAATGTGCTCTGAATTGAACAAGAGAGATGTTGAACTATTCAGGGGCAAAAAGATAATTCAGTCTTTGACCTTGCTCACTCTTGGACCTTCTGTGGTCTTTATGACATTTGTGATGGTGGCAAAAATTGAACACTATATATTTGAGTCAGAAATGTCTGAATATACTACCAATTTTAAAAATAATTTTTACTTTTGAAAAGGATATTTTATATATACACACACACATAAACACACACACACACATACACACACACATGTATCCTGATGCTTCCTTGTCTTTGTCATTAAATTTGGGACACAAGTAAGCTCTTTGTCTGCTTTCTGTATTTCTTGTTCAAAGAACTTTAAAGATGTGCTGTGCATCTCAGTAGATAACAACAGTCAGGCCCTACAAGTTATTAGGCAATAGTTTGAAAAGAGGCAATTGACTAGCGCCATCTTCAAATCCTCAAGTTAGCATCCATTTAGGAATTTTGTAGATGGAGAGAGGAGATTTTAAATCACTGTTAACTGTCTGTGCTAAGGCAAGAATATTTTCTGACATGGTACAAATGAGCCTGTTACTCTAAGATACGCGCTTGGTTTCAGAACACTTTTTCTAAATAAGTCTAACGAGACAAATTTATATTTGAACAACTTGGCTCTATTTTTAAGATATTTTTAATGATCTGAACATAAAGTTAAACTCCCATTGTTTTAGCAAAAAATGTTAAATTATAATATTCCATCATTAGACATGAGCACAAGAAAGAAAGATTCTATAGTCTTTTAAGTAGCCATCAATCTTACTACAGTTACAAAGAATTTTTCCCTTTCAAAATGTAAAATTTTTCTTTTGTTACAACACATTCATTGAGAAACATTGTGATACTGTATTAACTCTGTGTGAATAAAGAGCAATTGAGACTCTCTTTGAATGAGTGAGTATAAAGCACAAATTACTTTTTAATGAAACCCTCAATTCTTTCCCTTTCCACAAAAAGCCTATAGCCTTGTTCAGCTGAACACTACTACAGTAGGTCACTTCAGTTAAGCCCCTAATAAACTGTTGATAGTCGAGGGTAGTTTTTTCTTCGGTCTCAATAGCCCAGTGTTGGACAGTGCACTTCAAATCATTAAGGTTAATACAGATTTAAAAAAGAGATTAACTCTGGTGGTTAAGGCCTCGATTTACAACTCCCACACATACACATGCATTGAGCTAGGCACAAGTGTGGATTGAAATTTCTGTCAAATTGTGGGCAGCTTTTCACAGCCTGAGAAAGTGGCACTATGGTTTGAAAAGCTGGTCAGCTAAATTCTTCGTAAGGGAAAAAGTTTGAGTCACTGAAAAATACCTCTCAGTACAACTTACTTACCTTTCAGCTAACCAGGGAAAAGGTTAATGTCTCTCCGCACCACCAAAGCAAGACCCAGAGACTCTCTGGCCCCGCGTTCACTGGGGAAGATTCTCTCTGCAGCTAAATCAAGTGTTCGTTAAAACTCTACGCATTGTAAGGAAAGGCCAATGGTGGGGTGGGGTGGGGTGGGGGAATATTTTTTCTTTGGGTGGTAGGAAATAGTTCATGTTATCATTTGTCTTTTTTAGCTTCTGATTATTCTTTTCCTTGAGCAAGGCCTAATTTCTGCTTCAACAGAACATTCCAAGTCTCCTATGTTGAGTGAGGCTTTCTTTGCAGAGTATTTAGTTAGACCCGGCCTATTGGTTCTTTCAAGTTCTAAGAGGAGAAAGAGAAAAGAATTCTTCTCCTCCGCCCCTCCCCTTCATTTCATTTTCCCCTGGGTTCTCTCTCTCTTTCTCTCTGTTTTTTTTTTTTTTTTTTTTTTTTTTTCTGAGCTCCTAAGGAAGAGGTCGTAGCTTCCCCAGGGAGACCAGCCACTCAGTTTCTGAAACAGCTATATGGGAGAACTGTGAAACCCTTCAAAAGATGCCCTACCTTTTCACTGTACTAAAAGGTACACTAATATAAAACTTCTCCACCCCAGGTGAATTGATCTCTCAAATTAATGCACCATCTCCTTCAGGAACCAATAGGGAAAAGGGAAAGAAAAAAGGGAGAGAGAGAGAATTTTACAATTAAGAGAATCTGTCACTGAAATCGTCCCATTAAATGAGCGTATCTTTTTCTAAAACAAGGCTATGCATAAGACTTGTGACTTGCCAGCCCTGTAGTCTGGAAACCTACTAGTTATTAAGAGAGATGTTTACTACCCTTTTATTTGCATAGACTTTTCCCATGTTTTTCTTTTGGAAAACTGTCTTCATTGTTGGAAAATATTTAAGTAACAAAACAGCAGAAAAAGACATGCTACAGTTTTTTTATCAGCTTCCATCAGAGTCTTATTATCTTAAGAAATAACAGTTAGCAGCTCAGATTCATTAGCAGAGCTAAATTTAAGCCCCATTTGACAGGCTGCCTAGAAAACATTTTGTTTTGCTGTCTGTGGGCTTTAATTAAGATGTGTTCAATTTCAGTCCTCTTCAGTCTAGCTCCCGCCCCCAGGCCCCCACCCCCAACTTGCTGTGTCACAGACCGGCGATCAGACACTTTTAGATGGTCCGGCCCATGACTTTGACCTTCTGCGCAGTCCGGCGTTCCCTGGGGAACCGTTCAACTCATGAGGTCTGATTTCACACTTCCAGGATGCCTCAGCTCTCTTAACAATGACAGGGAGACAAAGCCCTTTAGAGCAGGCCGCATGGGGACTTGTTTAAATTGGAAACCAGAGAGGAGTCAAGGAACAAGGTTATGGGCTACAGAATGGTGCTTTTAATAAAGAGCTCACAGCTCTGGCTCAGCTCAAAGAGGTCTACCTCAGTACAATTAATTGAGCCATTTATCTGGAGCATCTTAGGCCTCTACTTTCTCACAGAATTGCGTGGTAAATATCAGCTAAGAAGCAAATGAGATATGCATGAAA